TTTTTTGCTTATTTTGATTTATTTTTAGTTTTTTTGCAAAATTAGACTTTTTATATCTTTTTTTAAATGACATCTTATAAAAACTTGATTAATAAAATATTACATATATTAAAGTAAAATAACTAAATGTAATGTATAAAAAAATAATTGTCGGTGTTGTGTCTGCATAAAATTTAGATAACATCGCAGTGTTTATTTAGTGTCATTAATTATTGTTTATATTTCCTTAGGAAATGGTTAATCTTAGTTTACCAATTTCTGTTTGAAGTACTTGTTTTCTTTTGATATTATTTCATTTAATTCGTGTGTATAAGTATGCTATAAAATGGTCGGCATTTTCTTCGGCACACCCGTTGAAGAAATATTTATAAATAAATAAATCGAATTAGTGAGGAAAAAAATTACTCAATCGACAGCATATTTTGGCGAGTTTTTTCACTTTGCAGATGGAAAAAAAGATATATATTTTTTTTCCTAGAGATGGACATTACATGTCCTATAAAAATGAAATTATTAAGCTAATATTATACATGCTAACTAAATGTTAACTAAATATTATACATTATTATACATAATTAAATACGAAACGTTATATATCAAATCGCATGAATATGTAAGAATTCGTAAAATCAATATTCATTCAATATTCATATAATAAAAAAATCGAGTAATATTCATTACTCGAGTAATATTGATTTGGTATACTGGTTTATTTATTTATAAATATTTCTCAACGTGTGTGCCGAAGAAAATGCCATTTTATAGCATACTTACACACATTACATTACATTTACAGTAAATATTTAATAAATTACTCTTCATATTTGTGTATGATTTATCTATTTTGGCATCTAACGGATTCGTTGAACAAATCGTTTATTTCCGTTGGAGATTAAATTGAATAAACTTATTAAAATAGCGGGATTTATTAAAGAAATCTTCTGTGCGTGTCCAGTGCAATATATACTCCATTATTAGCGGTAATTCATCTATCAGGCTTAATCAATGCCTAATCCTATTCGCCTAATTCTTGAAGTGCGATAAATTGATGTCGCGAAAATCCCGACATATTATATTATTACAAACGATTAGAGTTAATTTTAAAGGCGATAAAGGCGTCCAAGTTAGTAGTATTAATAACGGTACGTTATTGACAATAAACGGCTACTTAATTTTTGGCACATTTTTCTAACGGATGCATTAATTTTAACTTTTAATTTTGACTCATCTTTTGCCTAACTCTTCTCCTAGTTACATTTCTGATGTATCTTCTGTAATTTCACAATGTTCTCGCCGCGCGTATTATCGTTCCTTGATTTATAAAGAAAATTCTTTTTAATTCTCCATTTATTAAATACGCCATTCGTCGCGCGGGCATTAGAAAGCTAGGGATAGGGGATTGCTGTTGTATATTAATTGTAGACAATTTTCCCGGCAAGATATAAATCGGACCGCCGCTCTGCATGGTCGATTAATATTATTTTTGCGTGGTAGAAGCGGCGTGGTAGACGGTCAGCTCTCTCGTGGAATCGCGCGTAAATCTGGCGAGTGAGCTAATCTCTCTTCCGAGCTGACCGGTGCGCTGGTTACTGTATATACAGTAACGCAATCGGTAAAAGCTGTTGTATAATCCACACGCGCGAGAGATGCAAAAAGAACGCGCGCCACGCACTCACTTTTTATAGTTTTAGAACAAGCGTGCCGCGCGCGCCGGAGAACGCGATCGCGTGCCGCCGCCTAAGTCGCCGTCTAAGTCGAGCGATTCCGCGCGTGGTCGATCGATCCACTTACCTTATCGGTATCGATGACGATTAATCCGCGCACGATATCCATCGTCGTCGCGATCCGTCTGGCGTCGGTGTCGATCGGCCGAATCGTCGGCCGACACGGCTCTATTCAACGCCGGCGTCTCGTCGGCGGCGACGGCGGCGGCGGCGGCGGCGGCGGCGGCGGCTCCGACACGCCAACTTATCTGCCTATTACGTGAAACGCGCTGCGCGTTGCGACACGGCCCGGCAAATTTTCTGACAGAGATCGAAACGAGTCCTGCTTTCTCCCGAATTTTTCTAGCGTGCTTAAGCCGCGCGCGACTCGGCGCGGCTTTGCGCGTGCGCGCGCGCGCGCGCGCGCGCGCGGATGTGCCCACGTTTTTCCTGCCTAGCGGAATTCGCGAGCTCGTGCGCCGATCCACCGCCGAGAGCGCCCGGTCGTTAATCGTTTCATTAATATAAATGAAAGTCGCATGGTTTGCAAACCGGACCACGGACGAAATCCGAGGTATGTATTAACTGCTCGCCAAGGCCGGGACGTCTGTTCCCTGCGCGTATTCGGATCTCGGCGCTCTTATTGCAGCACGGAGCTACACGTGTCTTCGATCGAATTGTTATGTTGATTATCGCATGATCGCGCAATCGTATATTGCGCGTCTAATCATCGGAAACGCAATTACGCTGGGAAGTAAATCTCGGGATAAGCAAATTTTGCTCTCGACGCTGGTGCGTATATGAAATTTACAATAGAAACCGACACGTGTTGAAACGTCTCGAATTGTTCTCGCATTTTCCTCTTTGAGACATATCGTCGGAATCGCTCTGCGATTTTCTCTGACGCGAGAATAACGTCGTTTCGTGCATCGGCGCATAATGGAATGTAGAAGATTATTCGGAGGTACCTCGCGAAAGACTGCTGATAACAGGTTTCAATCGTTTTCGTTCGAAACGCGGCATTCCATCAACGATGTTGAGGAAGGACTTTAATATGGCACTTATATAAGGGGATTCTCTCCCTACCCTCTCTCTCTCTC